TTAAAGGTTATTATTAATTTATGCGAGTTACATAATGTTGCAATGTCAATTCACATCGTCTATTTTTCTTCAGCCCGACTCGTAGCTCAGTGGCTAAGTGGGTCGCTGGTGAGCATTAGGACTGAGGTTGAAGTTCGTTGTTGTAGACACTGTTTCAAAATGGCACTCGATGGCGTTTGGGATGTTCAGGATCTTGCCTCGTGAATAGGACTACCTGGGTTGAAGTTTTATGGTTGTTCTCCCATACGATACGCAAATGAAGGGTAGTTCCCCTAAAGGTCCTCCCGGAAGGCACTGCCCTCCTTCTGCAGCGACACGGAACCAAGTCAGACTTCTACCTACGATACTCCATCCCAACAGAAGCTGCCCCTTCACCTGCATTCTTAAGTACTCATGGTATGTCCTTCTCGTATTGCAGGACACTGAAGATTAAACACTACAACCACATTGTACGATTTTGTGTGCTTCTATACTAAAACTGCATACAAAATGTAAAAAAATAACTTAATATCTAAAAGGTTGCTTTTTCAATTATGTGACATCCATGTAAATACAAGATTTTTAATATTATTTAAATTATTTTCACCGACAAGAAATATTGCGAAATTATAAAATCTAAAAAAAAACAAAACATTTTTTATATGTTTAAAAACCCTTCATTATTTTTCTAATTTTTTTTTTTCCAATATTATTATTATTTTTTACCTTATTTAACTTTTTTTTTTTTTTTTTTTTTTTTGACATAATTTTACTATTACTGGCACGTATCTGAATTCTTTACTTATTACATCACAAAATCTATCATGTTCTACACTAAAACTGCATGCAGAATGTAAGCAATAATTTAATATCAAAATGGTTGCCTTTTCAATAATGTAACATATTTTCATACAAGACTTTTAATATTATGTAAATTACTTTTCTACGAAAAGCAATATTATGAAATTATAAAATCTAAAAAAAAAAAAAAATTATATTTAAAAACACCTTTATCATATATCTAAATTTTCTATCCAATAATAGTTGTGACATAACGTTACTATTAGTCATTTAACTGACTTCTTTACTTATTACATGACAAAATCTGTCAATCTCTTTTTTTTTTTCAATTCCTTCTATTAGCTTACACTCTCCCTATATATATCTTGTTCAAATTTTCAATCGTTCATAAACTTCTTTGTATTCATCCACTCAAATTCAAATACATTTTTTTTGAACTTGTAGTGGATGGACACTTGATGTTAATACAGTTTTTTTCAAATATTAATTCAGTAATTAAATTTAATTAATTAATTTTAGTTTTTTTAGATTTAAGTTTCATATATCTACCAATAGATGGCGCCAGATAGACTTTAAAAATGAATGAAAATTATTTATAAAAGACTTACTGCAATATAGTGAAAAAAGGTAAAAACCTTTATCATTTTTCTAAATTTTCTATTCAATATTATTTCTTTTTAGTTGTGACATAACATTACTATTCCTGTCTTTTATCTGTCTTCTGTACTTATTACATCATAAAATCTGTTCAAATTTCTTAATACAAAAAATATATATTGTTTTAAGTCATTAGAATTTCGTTAAAGGTTATTGTCTCTGATTTCATTCAGAAAGACTTACATCATCGATAGTAAAAAAAAAAAAAAAAATCGATAGAAGATATTCTCGTAACAGAACTATCGATATATCCTGGAACCCAAGTTCCTGACAGAGCGTGAAGAACTTTCGTGGAAATGATTACGATAATGTATGATGGACGATTGTTGGTCTGAAGTTCCGCAAATAGAAATAAGAATAAAGTGGCCTTTCAAAGGATTCAGTAATAAGAGCCTTTCTTTCATGCGCACAGCGGAACCGACGAGATTTATTGTTTCCAAAAACGCTGTAAAATTACCCTCTTTACTTCACAGGTAGCGTGTCTCGTGGAAAGAAGCATTAGAATGGTTGTAAGGTGATAAGAATAATAATGGAGTATGATATTTTGGTAATAAAGGCGTGAATGGCATAAATTCATGGCGGGAAACTGGAGACAATGCAGTATCCGCCATGTATTGTATTTTTATTTACTTTAATGATATTTAACTTCTTTATTGCGATTAGCTAAAGTTGCAGCAAATCAAATATTTTCGAAATATTTAACGAGGTTTAGCGAAACTAGTTTGATGACTATTACTTTCGTAAGTTCTTGACTTCTTGTAGATTCCCAATTATGGTTTTATTAAATAACAAAAATTTTTCTTCATTGACGCAACAGCACTATGGTGGGCCAAGGTAGTCTGCTTACTGGAAGATTTGAGATATAAGATGTCTTTTTTATTCGTGGTAGAAATGTCAGCCCTACGCTTTACAGCCATGTTAAACAAGGACCTACGGTTTAAAGTGAATTCCAAACAACTGCAAGCATACATGGCAACGCCACGACTCGAACCCAAAAGACTGTGGCGCCGAGCACCAGAGCGCTAGTCACTCTGCTATCAGGTCCCAAATATTAAAATTAGTGAACAGATAATCATTTACAAATCTCTGCCACTTTATTAAACCCTAAAACATTGTTCTGAAATCCATTTTGAAACAAATTCAATAATGAATAAATCTAAAGCAACAGAATTGAACAAGCATATAATCTTTTCTCGAATTAAAAATTTTATATATCAATTTCATCAGAAATTTAAGCGAAAAACAGTTGGGATTAATGATAAAAAGTTAAAAAAATAATATCTAAGCATAATGTATAATTATTTATGATTTAGTCATCATCTTAGTTGCCATTTTTCTTACGCACAAAATAAATATTTTTTACAATATTGTTAAAAAAACTGGTGACAAAAACTGGTAATACAATCCATTTGGTGACAATCCCATCCAAAACTGGTGACAAAAACTGTTAACACAATCCACTTGGTGACAATCCATCCAAAACTGTGACAAAAACTGTTAACACAATCCACTTAGTGGCAATCCATCCAAAACTGGTGACAAAAACCGGTAACACAATCCATTTGGTGGCAATCCATCCAAAACTGGTGACAAAAACCGGTAACACAATCCATGGTGACAATCCATCAAAACTGGTGACAAAAATAACACAATCCACTTAGTGGCAATCCATCCACAACTGGTGACAAAATATCCATTTGGTGACAATCCATCAAAACTGGTGACAAAAACTGGTAATACAATCAATTTTTAAGATAAATAAATTTTTACTATATCACAAGTCAATTATCTTAACTAGTGAATAGCAAACGACATTTCAAAATTGTCCTTGAATCACTGAAATCTATAAAGCAATCATAACGAATAAATCTGATAAAATACAATCGCACACAGTCGTAATCCCCTTTGTAAAGTAATAAAATATCCGAAAACCACTCAATCAGAACTTCAACAAGAAATACAATTAAAAAAAAAAAAGAAGCAATTCTGCGATGTTCCAAGAGAGATAAAAGTTCGACTCCCACACAATTCGGATCATCCCCAAACGCCACTTTACGTCATCAATTACCCATTCAATATGTGGATTCCGGCAGGAATGCGATTTAGAACGAAGTTGAAATTTATGACACGTCATTTCTCAAGTTAATCAATAGAAAACTCCCGTTCGCTAATTGCTGTTAGTATCCTAGAAGGGCAGTGCTCCCCAATAAGGAGGGGAAGAAGTTGTCCTTGAAAATTAGTTTTTAATTGGTGGTGTTACAAATCTTCCGTAGAAATAAGGATGCATCTGAGAACAGTTTTCTGGGCCATTAAGCCCCACTAAAGTTTAATGGGCAGATATAAATATCTGCATTCCTCTTGGCAATAGAAATAATCATGATACAGAGAGCGTGTCTAGTGGCAGTATTAATGATTAGGAAATAGGCGGGTGTGGATATGAAATTGTCATTGGTACGAATGCATGTTTATACATTGGACACTTATTTAAGATCTTTATATGCACAATATTCCGATGTAAGTGTAACAAAATACTTTTTTAATCTATTTAATACATTCAGCTGCCAAGTTCATACGCTGTTCTGGGCTTAAAGTGGTCAAGTCAGCCTATTGACAAACAGGGAAATAACTCTTCCTAGAGAATCTTATATTTTCTTTTCTTACTGTTAATAACAGACAGACAATAGGCGACACAATGAGGGTGGTGTGCAGAGAAAATAACTATCAAGCTGAGAGTTTGTTTGCACTTCCATTTCTTTCCTTTTCCACTACTAGATATCGGTGTAGCTACAACATTACCTTCAAAATACCTAGTTTTATTTATTTTTTTCTTTTATGTTGTTTCTTATCGTACTTGGTAAACAGCAACATTTAGACAAAGTCCAAGATCCTGTGTGGTCTCATAAAAGGGGAGAGCTACTGTTGGGGTGGAGAACCCGTAGTTAGAAGTCTGGCTTGGCTCAGTGGCGATGCCTTTTTACGCTACAGGTCGTAGGGCTGTCAGCCTTACGACCTGTAGTCATATTAGACTGGAACCTATGGCCAAGGTTGGATTCTGAACCACTACAAATATAAATGGCCCCGCCTGTGCTCGAACCCAAAATTTGTGTCACCAAGCGCCATAGCACTAATCAATCGACCATCAAGCCCTTTTTCTCTTTTGATACATAAGATTCTTTTCAGCATTTCAGAGATATGAACTATCTGGAATGAGGCAGAAAAGACAACCCCGTATAAACTCCCATCCCATCAACTTCCCAAACAATATATGTTGTTTGTTGTTGTTTCTTATCCCACTTGGCTGACCAAGCACACGAGCCCATACGTACTCATGATTGAAGGGAAGGAAGCAGCTTCTATTGTGATGGAGCACCCCGTAGGTAGAAGTCTGACTTTTGGCTCCGTGACGCTCTTACAATCATAGGAGACTGGGACCTACGGCTTAAAGTGGATTCGAACCACTACAAACATCCATGGCACCACCGGGATTCGAACCCGAAACCTGTGGCACCGAGCGCCAAAGCGCTAGACACTCGGCCATTCAGGTCCCAAATTTGTGAATGCGAACGGCACGCAGTGTTTCCAGGTGGTCACCCACCCGCGCCCAATGATGGTTGACTTCGGTGATCTAACGAGAACCGGTATATTCAGCATGGTGTGGCCGTTGGCGAATATATATGTAAACAAGAGAAGAATTTCCAACGTAAACATTTTTCCACTAAACGGACTGACCATTTCAGAAGCTAATTGGTAAAATAATCTTTCCACTAAACCAATTCGGAGGTAAATCATCGAACTTGTATACTATCAGTGCAACACGAGATTAACGAAGATGTTTAAAAAGAAAAAAAATGTTTACGATGCAGAAAAGCATGTTAGTTTAAAAATTTGGAAGAACTATTCGTGTTTTATTATGTACGTGTACGTTGGGATGGAGCAGATGTCTGTTGTGACGGAGCACCAGTAGGTAAATGTCTGGCTTGGCTCCGTGTCGCCAAAGACGACAATGCCTTCTGGGAGGACATTCAGGAGGGAACTACCCGCGTATCTTATGGGAGAAAAAAAAAAAAAACCCAAAATTCCCACCAGGTAGTCCAACTAGCTAGGCAAGGTGCTGAATATCACAAACGCCATCCAATCTCCTTGTTTCTTGAAACGAGTGTCCACAACAAAAGCAAGCACATTGAACTTCAGACCTAATGGTCGTTGCCACTGAGTCAGAAGTCTGGCTTTATTAGTTGTTAAAAAGTATTGATGTTATGTATTAAATAACACAAATATTAAAATCATTGCATTATTTTAAAAAATGGCATTTTTTTTATGAAAATCATAAAATATAACTTTGATAAAAACAAGTTCATAGCTTTTAACATTTTGTATTTTTGCAAATGTAATAGTTATGAATTAATTCATGCTTCATAAAAACCTAATTGAATGAAATTAAAAAAGTATAAACGTTTAACGTTAACTATAAATAATGGATTAAAACATCGAGTTTTAAGTGAACGTTAACATAAAAGTTTAATTAAACTACTAAAACTATTAAAAATCCAAATAAAACTGTAAAATAAATAAAACTAAAACCTAATTGAACTTAATTAAAAATAATTTAATGAAACTTTTAGTATAAATAAAATAAACTACTAAAAACTAAGTGTAATTAATAATTAAAAGCATTTTGAAATGAATGCATTTTTCTAAAACTAACTAACTTTTTTAATCTAACAATTGTAGAAAACAGAATGATGTACTTAGAATTCAATTTAATTTAGTAAGAAAAAAAAAAAAGCAGAATTTATTTAAATTATTACCATTTGGGTGTAATAAAAATGTAAAAACTTGTCAAATTTACGAAATTTAAGCTAAGTGTATTTCATCTATAATGTTGGATTTTTCTATATTCAAAATGCATATAAAAGCGCGAAAACGGATTAACAATTATCGCTTTGTAAATTACTTTAAAAGATACACTTCAAAAACAGATAACAAATCTCTTAATGTTTAATTCATTTTTCTCATTATGCTTAAGTTCCATTATTAAAATAAACAATTGTTTTATTCAGAAATTTAAACACAAATAAATTTCGTGAACACTAAAAAGAATAAGTATACAAAAAACAATTTATAAAAACAAGACAAACAATAAAAAAAACAGGTATTATACAAAAAAAAACAATTTAAAATATTTTCTAATTCAAGAAAAAGTTCTGTTCTGGAAAAGAATGTTTTCTTGTCATGCCAATAAATCTTTTTATGCAAAAAAAAAAAATAAAAATTCTTTAGAAATCATGCCCAGCTGTTCCACTAGAGGGGCTTCTAGTATGTTACATGGATACTTCAATAAATTGCCCTAATAACTTATCGGAAATAGAATATTGCTATCTGGTCCTGTTATAACATCTTCTAAAATCGATTTTTTTCCTACCTTTATTTATGAATTCAATATTATTTATTATTGAAGTTTTTAGAAATCAATTACATTTTTAGACTTGATTCATTGTGGTTTCGAATCAGTTTTTTTTTATTATGAACGTTTTTATTTAGTATCCAAAAGTTGTTTCTGTTATTGTTGATTTGCAAAGATGCTTTTGGTATTGCATAATGAATATAAAAGTAACCAAATATTATGTAACATCCATTTTACTTTTTAAATAAGCATCAGATATTGGACTTATTGAATCTAGTTTTTTATAAAAGTAAATTTCTGATTAGTTTGTATTTAATCTAGACTACGTTTATCAGTTGGACTTTATTGAATAAATAAGAAGTATTTTTTGAATTGGATTAAATTCTAAAAAGAGAAAAAAAAAAAAAAAAATCTTGTTACAAACTTTTATGCATCATTGGTGAAATATATTGTATCTAAAAAGTATTCTTCTAATTAGACCGCACAAATAATATTTCAGAAAAAATTGGAAAAGTAAATATAATAAAAATTTCTAAAAGTAAATATAAAGAAAAACAAAATTTGTAATGATCGCAAATAGGATTATTTAAATAAATTGCTCGTTTATTTGAAAAATAAAAGCTACATATTGCTATAAATTTTAGTTTCAAATTTTGATCATCTGTAATGTTTGTGATTGATATGCATCTAATAATTGTATTTTCTTTTTTTACACTGACATTTGTCTGCGATAAATCTTTATGTCTATATACAAATTAATATAAATTAAGAAGGCCTAAATGATCAGTGGCTAGCGCTCTGGCGCTCGGTACAACAGGCTTCGGGTTCGAGTCCCTGGGGTGCCATGGATCTTTGTAGGACTTTAAACTGTGTGTTAAAAGTGTCCACTTTAAACCGTAGGTCCCCGGTCTAATATGATCGTACCGAGTTGCGGGGGTACTGTTACTCCGCGTCCGTAGCTTATCTTCAAGCTACACGCACCTCTTGGTAGTGCTAAGTGAGTAACATCGGTGCGGCGGTTGTATGCCTGAAGGCATCAAAGACAAATGTTTAAGTGTTTGCCAGCTGCATTAAGAATAAAAAGAAATATATATATGAATTAATTAGTATTCAAAAATATTATCTTGCCTATTGATTTCTTTTATGTAAATTCATAGGAAATGAAACGTGCTTTTAAGTTAATATAGATAAAACGTACAATTTAAAATATTTACAGAAAATGAATTAATAAATTATCAAACGAATTTTTATAGCTTTTTATCAAAAGAAATGGCTATGAAATTAACTGTATATATGATAATTTTATATCAATTTTTCTGTTTGTAGTTTCATTATATTAGCTTTCCTATATTATAAATTCATAAGAAACTGGGTTATATAATTTGAGTTCCAATAAAATTTTAACAAATATTAATCAATATATGGAGAAAATCTGAAAATGGTGGACCAATAAATAATGAATTTTTTTAAGGTTATAATGATTAAAATCTTAAAAGAAATTTTAATTATTTCCATTATCCCTCATTAATCCTTATTGAAAAATCTGTCTGATTAAAAAGTGTGGTTTATTTTTGCTTATAATATCCATTATCATTATTGACCAATTACTTTTTAAAAATGCATACATTATCATCAAACACGTGTCATAAAATTAACAAACTAGAGATTATGTAGCACATTTACTACATTATGAAAAATGCAAATTTTCAATCTCATTTCTTGTTATGTATATAAAATGACCTATAAATAAGGGTTTAAATCATTCTTCTAAATACATGGTAGCCCAATTTAATCTATTGATCTTAAATTTTATAACATTTTTGAGTCTTTTATAGTGTTATAAATTTCAACGTTGTACACCGTCTTCTCCAACAATCACTTTCCTTCACACCTCAGAAGAAAAGCCTTAAAATCTTCCTCTCAAATATAACAAAATGGGCCTCATCAGGTCTTTGCCAAAGTGATGAGCCATAGACCAAAAACAGGTCTAATAAGGGTTTTGTATAACAAAGGTGAGTTTTTTTCTGTTTATGAGCATTGATGTAAACAAATTTCTTAACCCAAAAGGCCCTGTTGGCGGAGCACAATTCTGATTTTTTATTTCAGGTAAGATATTATTATTTTGACAATTAATTTCCGATCATAAATATTTAAAAACTAAGCGCAGATTCAAAAGTGTAGTGCTTATGGTAATATTGGGTATATCTGGCAAATATTTCTTGAGGAAAGCATATTTCGTTTTCTCCTGATTTTTGTTCTAGATGCATAGCCCACTCCCTACAAACCAGTTCAAAAAGCTCGAAAAGCTTCATCCTTTTCAATTCCTCTACTATTAGCTCACACTCTTCCTATATATATCTGGTTCAAATTTTCAATCGTTAATAAAATACTTTTTATACCTCCACTGAAGTTCAAACGCATTTTTGGAACTTGTAGTGGATGATATGATGTTAATACGGTTTTTCAAATATTATTCAGTAATTAAATTAAATTAATTAATTTTTGTTTTTTTAGATTAAAAGTTGCATGTATCTACCAATAGATGGCATAGATGTAAAAAGAAAATTTCAACTTTAGAAACAAAGGACTTTCTGAAATATAGTGAAAAAAAAAAAATAGCAATTGACTTTACATTTTTTTTATTAATTATATTAATTGTTTCATTAAAAGGAATTATTACATTAAATGCAGAAAATATTTATAAAAATTAACAATATTTATGACAATATAACTTTCAATGTGAAAATAAAAAAAAAATAGAGGGGATAATTTAAATTTCTGTTGGGCCTTAACCCCTTCCCTCTCTCTTTCCCCCAATGGAATTGTTTCCATCATCAAAAAACCAGTTGTCTGGTGTTTATCTGATCTCAGACTTTCCCCTAAAGGATCATTTATTTAAAAATAAAATGTCATTTTTGTCTGACCCTAAGTGAAATTTTACCTCTAGAAGAGTATATAATACACATGTAGCTTCCAGTTATTGGATAATATAAATATTCAGACATCATAAAATATAATTATTGCCAATATAGCGTCTCACATAAAAAAATATAAAATGATATATATTTCCTTACACCTAATATGCCATATTACCTTTTTGAGATAATATTTTCAGTACAACGGAAATTTTCCCAGAAAATGATAATGATAACAACTTCGTATAACGAAATACAAAAGTTATTTATTAAGTCTGGTAAGCATTTGATGTCGGGAAAAATAATATTGGGAATATTTCATTATATAATGTTATAAGAGATT